CAGCTAAAATGCGCTCTAACACAACAAACAAGTCTCTCCTCTGACTGTCTGACTGTCTGTAGTACAGCCTTCACCAGGTTGGAATGACCAAACCCTGCCTTAGGACACGTGACTGACACGTCCAGCCAATCACAACTAGTAGCAGTTCAACCAATGACAGAATGTTAATTATCGGTTTGACCAATGAGAGGAGTGGTTGCATTTTCATGTTTTTATTTTGCATTCTACGTATTCACGGAGATGGTCAGGGCTTTTGGATCAGTCTATTGATCAAAGGTGCCAGGAAGACTGACGTGTTCGAGACGACAGAATATCCTGGGGACTTTCTTAGTTTCTAATCCCCGTCTGGCACGACTGTACATGTAGTTCATAGTGACGTGCTGTGATTCCCCAGTGCGCTGTTTAATGACTCCTCCGAGTCCGGCCCCGACCCGTATTATCTTTATTTGTGTCGCCCATGTCTGACACACACCAGACCACCCGGCACCCAGCATTATCCACCCACTTGTCATCGACTTAAGGAGGCTACCATAGGGGGCAGCCGGTACAACGCATCTAGTCCTTGAGGTTTGAAAAATCAATGTCTGAGGACCCCTCCTTTACTAGCCTCTCGTTTTGAGACGGAGACAGGGAATGGGCAAGCAGTTGTCGTGTCTGTCTTTCTTAATAATACATAGTGTTTTATGACAGCAAAATTGAATGAATGGGTCATAAAATTTGTCCAGAGATGGTTTCTGAAATATGAAGTAACATGCCACGCCAGTGTGGAAACATTAAGATTGGTGAATCTATGAAACCATAGAGAATCATGTTTTGAACAAGAACTTTCCTTCAACATGAGTTTTTAAGTACAAGTTAATATAAAATTCAGGGTCGTTCACCTTAAGAAAATTCTAGCTGGATTATTAAGATTCAAGACCTGTTACGGCAAGAATGTACAGTTAGGTAATATTTGTCTATTTCTAAGGAGCCTCGAACATTTGTCTAGGGAAGGCGTCTTATTGACGAATGGCAAAGGAAAATAATAACCATACGTTTTTACGTGAAAAGTAGTCCCCTGCTGAATTTTGTGCACATTCATTACATGTTATGATCACACAGTTTCTATTACTACAGTACAGTACCTTTAGCTATGTTTCATGATAAAAAATCCTAAACCAAACTTTACACTATGCACTATATACTATTTAGAAACAGACTAAACAAAACTATAGAAATAGAGCACAACGAGCAAGGGCATTTCTGAAATAATCATCATCTAGATAACTCCTTTCACGTTAAAAGAATCATTATTTTGTTTCTTATGTATCATTGCGTACGGTTATACATCTACTATGTTTTTGTATTGTCGTACTGTGAATGATAAATTTGTTAGAAAATACTACATATGCTAGTACATATATGAGTCCCTGTTCCCTATATACCCCACTAGGACACATGTTTATCACACTTAATGCAGACCTCCCGTCCCCAATGGCGGTTCCGTCTTGTTTCCCCGACAGTGGCTTACAGGAACCCATTAAAGGATTACTTGTATCCTCTGTGGGCGTTTTCACGCACCGGTCACCAGCATTAAGACTCCCTTCTAAGGCTCTTCTCCGTAATTTGACAATCCCCCCGTCCTGACTTCAGCAGGATTTTGTTATAGATCCGTCATTTTCCGGATAATGGCGTTCTACAGGAGTAAACTTGCAGCGAGCCCCCGACATGCTTAAGAGCCTTAAGCTGTCTGAAACATTCAGTTACTCTCTTCTGAAACTTGCAAACAGTAATTACTCGTGGGCATAGTGACATTAAGTGGGACTCGAGCATTTGCGTGCCACACGTATTAGTGTAAGATGGCATTTCTAGCTCCCTTTAACACCCTGATCCTATCCTTCGGGAACGGTAGGGAGAGAAGATGTCATGCCAATGAAATATTTTCTGTCAGAATAAGTCCCTCGCGCATTTCAAGCAAGAAATCCTAGTACTAGTACACATTGCATTCAACAGACTAAGTTCTTCACCTAGCATAAAGATCCCATGTTTAACCACCCAAGATGGCGGACACGTAGTCACGTGAGCGCAAACACCCTACACGTATATATCAGTGAAAAGACTCCGATCTGGTAGAATTCTACCAGCAGAGAGTCTGTAAATTTTAAGATATATAAGCTTGAGATACATGTCAGAACTTGGTTCCTGTCAATTTACATCAACGGATTGACTTGAAATATAAGATTTGTTAATAGGAAACCACCCTAACACAATCGGAATCTTTACCCGTAGAATATACGACTCTACCAGATCGGAGTCTCTACCCTTACATATGCACCAACATGAGGAACGGTGTAGAACTATTTCTCTTACTTCCAGGCTATCATGTACTGACCTAGTGGACACTCGTGACTTTTAGAATAATGACGCTTCAGGAGTAGAGCGTTCCTTAGCAGCCAGCAGCAGACAGTGATCTATCTTCAGGGCACTACAACCGCGCGATAGATCACCTGGTCTGGCCTAAAGCCGACGTCCATTAATGTCTGGAAGACTTAAGCTCCGAATGATGAATCGGCCGAAGCTGTCCAACGCCTCCGTCCCAGATGGAATTTTACTTAACCTTGCGCTTCTGTAAAAACTTAAATCCATGCTGGTTTGATGCTTCGCAGAATGTATATGTGAAGAAGTGCAGTGCAGGGAACATCACAGCCTCTACTTCTTCGGATGCTAGAGACTGGTGTTGTGTTTTCAGAAAAACAAGTTGCCCAATGGAATGAACATAACGTGGTCTTTCTTTTTGATATCCATGCATGTATCTTGGCTCAAACGTATAATGTATCTATTATCGGCAGTTTGGCTACGTGTTGTCAGGATAGTCGACTTTTATACGGGGATAATAGCACCAACATGCACCCTTAGATAAGGTGATTGGTCAATATTAATTAACCACCTCTATGCTGAAGCGGCCGTTAAGCAACAAAAGCTACAGAACATCATAGAGACTATAGCGCTTCTTCCAGGTTTCGACAGGCGATTGGGAAGAGTAGAAATTGGCCAAAGGAGTAGAAACTAAAAACTTAACCCGCTAAAGGAGTAGTTTGTCGCTCAGTACTGCTTGACTAACTCCCCTGGCACATTAGAAATTCACCCAATGATTGTAAAACCTATCCATACACTCTTGTAGTTAGGTTAGCCTTATAAAAGTGTAGTTATGTACTAGTAGATGCCATACTTTGTACCCTGTACAATCGTGTGCAATAAAGTTATTATGCCATCTGTCTATTTAGCCAGTACTATTCTTTCCAGTCGCCTCTGAAGCCTGGTAGGGGCTAATAAAAACATGAATGCCTGGAAAGGAATAAAAATGATACTTGTTGATACGTAACATACACACATTTGTCCTCAATCATTTACGATAAGCATGTACTTCCGTTCAGCAGGAAAGGAAAAAAAATTCTCTTCCTAAGACGTTCCTGTCACGAAACCGCCTCAGTCCGCCTTTGTCGGCTAGCGGCGACCATAATCCACTAATAGGGTATCGCTGTCAGGGGTTTACCGTTTCCGGAGGGGCTGTTTTGTGGTATTCTGTAGCACGCGATTCCCTGCTATATGTACTTTATAATAGGATCTACGCGCACCGGTAATTGGGACTAGAGCAGATCAGCGTCTTCGGTAGCAAAAGCATCTGAAATACAGAATGATCCGCAAAGCTTACACTGCAATGCCGCACAGAGAGGCAATGGCCGTTCAGAAAGGCAACGACCGCTTAGATAGATGTACATGTATATGTACATTACCTCGTGACGCAGCAGAAGGTATCGTAAAGACAGTAAAACCATCATTTCGTCCAATCTATATCCAAGCTGAGTCTTGGTGAATCCGCTTTTATGGTATGGGTTAGAAACTGTGTGGGAATGGCTGAAGGACGGACTGAAGACTTTCTGTGAGGAAATTGTGAAGAACGTTCCTGTTTAAGATAAACACGTACCCCTCTGTATAACTATAAACTAAAGGATCGATAATTGCAATCGGTTACTACAGAGGCCATCTACGTCACGGTATTACAACCATCCCTAAACAGAGACGGGGGGCGCCACAGACTTTCTACAACATATGATCCACTGCTCATGTGTTTTTCTACACAAGGCAACGTCACATAAGAGGCTGATTGCTCATTCATTGGCAAAGGCTGGAGTTGAACAGTCAAACGTTTGGGTAAGTCCAACTTCTTGTGTTGGAAATTACAGTACAAACTTGGCCAATAGGCCAGCACGAGTCAAACTACCATGTGCAGTTGGAAAATGGCCGCGCGGTGGCGCTGCCACACGATGGTTAACCTATTACGAGACTACCTTACTTGAGGCAATGTTTTATAACAGTACTTTGTTCGATCAATAGTAGTTTTGCTATAGCATTTGGTAACTGATAACAGTTATTAGGTCAAGACCAAAGATAGGCGTTTCTCCTCAAGCAGATGTTGGGGCAGAAGTCATACCGTTTTCTGACACGCATCAAAGCAGATTAAAGCTGACAGGGTATTTTTGCTGATACAAGGACTATGGTAACATCATAAACATTAAAACGATTGATGATTATTAAGCAAAATGATTCTGTTCGGTATTATATGTAGTTATATGTATTATATGTAGAGAGAGAGGCCGGTGACGATGCATTTGAGTCATTATTATGACGTTACCAGCTTGCTGTAAAGCAGTACTGTTGCGCCATCTACCGGCTATTCTTATCAGTGCACAGGCCACATTCCATATTTCTCTCGAGTTTTAAATCTCCTTGCTTCGACTGACTACCTATGGCAGAACAGATAACTTCCACATTAAAGTCTTTTTTAAATGCTTTCAAATCCATGTATCTAAACATTCTGATGTTAAACAACAGCAAATACTGCCTACCTTGGTCAAAATTGGTAGTTACATGTAGTTGGAATGAGAAAAGTTCAAAACAAATTACAAACACTTGAAAAAGACAACACAAAAGCTCTGGCCTTGGGACAGTTATTTTTTCACTTATGAAATCTTTTAATTCTTACAAGATTATTTACAGAATGCTGACTGTTGTTGCCACACAGTTCAGCATATATCAACAGTTAAACTAGTTACCAAAGACTGTTTGTAATGATATTGCAAAAGTCATCAATAGAAACCAACTGGTGCAAAGATATACATGTAGAAGTGAAAGAAAATATTCTTGCAGTTCTAGAAACTTAAGAAAAAAACAACTTTTTAAAGCACACATGCTTCATCATTTAACACTATCGGTAATTTCCCTTACATAAAGGAATACATGATCATGGAAATCACACTATCAACCATTCAATGTTACTGTGACCACAACATATTCAACACGTTACTGGTCAACTATGATTGGGTTTGATTACCTAGCTAATATCCGTTATATTTCTTCCAATAATCCAAAAGCAATACAACTCTATGGACACGCCAGTTATACCACAATCTGATTTAAATGGTATGGTACGGTTCAGGTAGAAAAAAGGTTCTAAAGGTACTTAGAGGCCGTAAGAGCAGAGGCTTGTTATAAACTATGCGTAGGGCACTATTACTAGGAGATGAGCCCATCTCTCTCCTTCAACTATCTTCTACATCCCAAATCCAAGTTACACTCTTTCCCAAGAACACAAAAACTGGTCCAGTGCAGCTGGGAATTGAATGTGTGGCCTCTCGATCCCATGTTTGCTTGCTTAACCACTTGGTCATAGATGCCACCTTGGTTTAAACTTTATGTCCACAGTACATTTGGTCCAAGGACACGGGATATTGCACAACTAATTAACTATGGAAAGTCAAGCACTAACTTGGAATGCTTTTCTGGAAGCCACAAAAGCTACTGAGGAATTACATATCAACATCGTAACATTGACTCAGCTATAACTTTTTTTGTTCTTATTGTGTGATAAAAGAACTTTTCTAAACACTGAAATGGAATAAAACATTCTTAATTTTCCAGCCCCTTAAGCTTAAGAAATGTGAATGTTTTCTAATAGATGCGAATTCCAAATAACTTTGTTGGAATGCTACCCAGAAAAAAACAAAGTGTTCCACAGTAAGTAACAAAATGGCACATCTACTTATGAAGAATCTTCTGTACACCATGAAGAGTAGTATACATGTCCTGAGGTTCTATAAGGAAGCGTGGACCTTGCAACTTGATCACTTCATACATACATGGTAAATTTTTTGTTCATCCAAGAGAAAAAAAGATCAAAGTTTCTATATACAACAAAAGTGATGTTTCACAAACCATTGTTAGTAAGAGAAAAGAATAACTATTAAACGATGCAAGTTTTAAAGAATGCCATGCTGGACTACCAATGTTCTGTACTATGAAAACAGAAAACAAGGTTTACTGGGGTAGTAGAATATATTGTAGCATGCAGGTGTAAGATTCAAAACATCTGGCATCAGTACTTGCTCTTAAGGAAAGACCAATAAAAATGTATAAGTATGAAATTGTTTTAAGAGTTGAGTTTAGAGGCTTGTGTTATGCAGTGTCTCCCTGTCAGGGGTGGATGGCCCCCCTCCCCAAAAACTGGTGAGCAGACTACTACAATGTAGCTATAGGATCAGTGCAAATTTAGTCAGGCTAGAGGCATAGCCAAAGCAAAAGCTTTGCAGACATTTCATGCCATTTCAACATAGTAAGGAAGAAGCTGTGGATTGACACAAGCAGTTTCAGGAGCAAAGATCAACAGGGAAGCAATGTGCGCAAATTCACCTTCCTGTACATACTCTATACGTTACTGGATCATAAATTAAAAAGCAATTAAAGGTGTTTGTTTTTCAGTTGATGGGTAATGTGCATTTAAATGTACAGTATTTGTTTACACTGTAATACTTCATGTATGCAAGAGAAGATAAGAAATCACAGTTAGGAAACAACTTTAACTGAAAATCAACAAAATACTTAACAGACTGGTTAGTGTACACTGTATGTACACTATATACATCTATCTGTGAATGGCAAGTATTAGGAACCCATGCCAGTTCCGAATCTTTGTATTCTAGGTGGAAGGGGCCCTCTCTTTGATACGTCGAAGGGTTTGCACTGTGGTGTGGTTGGGAGCTTTCTCTGTTTTTTTGGTGCGGAGAACGCACTTTGAGTCCCACTCCCCAACGTCACCACCCTCACTGGTGGCCCCTCTTCTGCGGCGTAAGCCGCCATGTTTTCATACACATGCGGGCCGACAGCCAGGTCGTCGGGACCGTACTCTTTGGTTTCAAAAGAAGCAGAACCGAAAAGGTCGCCCTGTACTGTGGTCTCCTCACCAGCCTGAACATTCGCGATCACCGTATCAAACGGTACGAAACCGAAATTATCCTCGCGTCCTGCTGGTCCCGTGGCTCCACGTAAGTTGGAGAAATCGTCTTCAAATGCGAGCTTGGTCGGCGCATCAGAAGGGGAGACTTTAGCGGTGAGACGGTTTCCCAACGGTCGCGATCTCCTGTCCAGAGGATTGAACGGTTTTGCCCCGAACATGTCGAGACTGCTGTCGCTGCCCTTCCTGCGGTCGCCCGGGCTGGACTTGTGGCTGCTTCCCGTGCTGCTGTCACGGCTACGCCTCCCGACGGAGGATCCGCGCCGCGTCTTCGGAGAAACCTTCAGGTGGCTTCTCTTGGACTTGGGGCTGTTCTTCCTGATTCCTCCGGCAGTGCTCACGGCGTGAAGGTTCCGCCCGCTTCCCGAGGAATCCCTGCGCTGGCGTCGCATCTTCCCTGGCGAGGCACCGGCACTCTTCTTTCTTGTGAGCTCGTACTTTGCAGTAACAGCTGAGAATGGTTCGGCCCCAAACACGTCTGAAGAAGCAGCCCCAGCCACGGGCACGGCTTCTGCAGTTGGAGGCGAACCGGGCGGCGTCAAAATCTTTCTCTCCCCAAACGGAGCGTTTCCGAACACGTCCAGCTGTTCTCGCTGGTGGATGGTCTGAATTCTTGGCTTCTCGCTCTCCTTTGAGAAGAACGGCGCTTTACTGAAAACGTCGGAACTGTTGGAGCCGACGGAGAGGTTCCGCCCGCCCTCGATGTCTACGAGCTGAGCTTCTGCAACAAGGTCGATCTCGTCCTTGTCTGATTGCGGGGATGTCGGGGGAGTCAGGGTGCCGCTCATGATGGACTCCTCCACTTCTTGTGCTGTCGGCGGGACCCTGAAGATCAACTCGCTGAACTCGTCATGCTCGTGTTCCCTGTAGCCGCTCGCTTCACCACCGAAGTGAGCCCCTTCTATTAAGTCCTCCTCATCTGACGACGTCAGCGACTGCCTTCCACTAGACCCGTCCTCCGAACCTGAAATTCAAGAAGACAATCTAGCAATCTCGTTGGTGATTTAAAGTGTTTCATAATAAAGACATTCAGCATTCCACTGAGTGCTTTAGCCTTACACCTCCAGAAAGAGAATGGTAGTTTCTAAGAAAGATGATGGAAATGTTAGAAGGAAAGGAATCTACCTTGTTTCTCATGCAGAGGAAAACAAGATAAGCACCTGCTCACCTTTGTGGCTTAGACAAAACTCAGTGGAATGCTGAGAAAAGGACCAGGCTTGACAAGATCACCTTGCTGCCATGGTAGCACCAGAAATTTTGTGGGGAAAAGTTGACAGGAATATTCTATTCTGTGGTTGCTTTAGATTGGTGAATATTTTCAAACAGTAATATCATTAGATTTAAATAAAAAAGTAACCAAAACTGTGATTTGCAATTTGTACATTTTTCTCTGTTCAAGATGCAAAGTATGTGGAAAATTTGAACTACATGTAGTAGAATTTGAGTAGAGTAAGGGTTTGTTTAAAAAGTTCTGGATGCAAGCCCTTAGAATATCCCTGTCATCTACCCTACATTTGTACATACACTGTACATGTACATCTTCATTGTTCCAAGTGAACAGAATGATTAAAATGAACAGGCTGAACACAGACAATGCAAGCATTGGTCCTTGCAAAATGCTCTTCCTGTGTACAATGTAGAAGTGTAGCAGGATTATGAACTGTGTGTTTAAAAGTACTATGTGAAGTTCTTTGGTGTTGTGTACCAGTGAAGACAGCCCAAAGATGTATGTATTGTACACCAGAGGACACTATAACCCAGTAGTACCACCAGCAGGAGAAATGAAGACTTTTCTGACACCCCTTATCCCATTAAGACAGTCTAAAATGGGGCATGTGGGACTCACAGAATTATCAATATGTACAGTTGCTTCTGACTAAAACTTCATTGCTTGCTGATTGGACCCTGCTTGGCTTGTGCTTTCTGGGTTACAGGCCCTTGGTGGCAATTCAAACAAACAGTGTAAGAGATGATTCTATATACATGTAGAGTTACAGTAGAAAAGAAACATACAAGAAGCAAAGTATATTTATAATGTAGGAAGCTCACAGCATAATACAGGATAGATATCTTGAAAATATAGTAAGGGAAAAACAGTATGTACAGTGTGTATACTGAGACATGGAAGAAAAAAGCTCTTGATAAAGAAAATCTACAATCAGAATAATACAAGAATTGGCAAATGCATACATAGTTTACTTGGTTTCACTAATCCATCCTTTCCTCTAAACCTTCCAATCTACATGACTTCAACTTCACTACTCTTGACTGGCACACATAAATGAGAGCAATGTCAAATAATACTAAATCTCATATATATTGCAAACAATTCTTGGTACAGTATCTTTTCTTCATGAACAAGCTGACAATGAAATAGCTGTTTTAGTGACTGGGCTCTACAAGAAAATACAGATGCAACTACCAAAGTTGTATGGTATCATGGTATGAGTGCTGCAAAAGCTGCAACGGTAAAGAAAAGCATGGCAAATTGCATAGCATGTATAGAGATATACACTAATGCGGGTGTACAGCATCACACAACATGTAACGTTATAAGCCAGCCAGCCAGGGTACATGTATGTGTGGACAAAACTTCACACCTCTACAGCACAGAGAAAGACATTTGACGCTTTTCGAGGAGTATACAATGCAATGTACAAGTATACTCTGTGGAGTTAATTGCCATTTTGCATGAAGCCTTTTTTTTAGGAAATATCATATGAGAACTTCCCTGGAGACATACTGGCATCCCTGGCTGGCTTGAAAATCTACAGGAAGAGAATACAGTTGGTAGAGTTGAAACATAAGTAAAACAGAGACTAATGAAAGTATATGTATGTGTGCAGCAGCATCCAAACTTAAGATAAGAATCCATACAACCTTCTCCTTGCTGAAGTAGTGTTTTGGCACAAAATTTGTACTGATTACTGGGTGAGGCAGCAGGGAGAAGGTTAACATTCATAGCAAAAAAAGCCATCAAAAGTTTATTTTAAGACAGAACAATGACAAAGAGTAGAATTAGATATTTTAATTATTAAATAACTTCTTGTGCAATAGCAATAGCAAATACTATGTACTCTACACAAGAATGAATCAAATTCAGATAGATGAAACCAAAGGAAAAGATGGCTAGTTGGGCAGTCCTGGCTGTATACATATGTCTTATACAGTCTAATAAATCAAATCAAATAAAAGAGATTTGACTTTGAGAAAGAAATTTCATTAAATGTTAGATAAGACGGGATGAATTTAAGAAATTTTGGAGTGGTAAGAAGATCTTCATCATAATGATTATAATTTTCAGCGCATTTTCTTTTATCATTGTCGGCAGGAAAAAGGGTAAGAGAAGAAAACAGCTACATATGCCAGAATAACATACTTTCTCATATCATAGCATTCACTCAGAAAGAGGCAGCGACAGTATGTGATTGTATGTTAGGCATGTTGGCAGAACATACTGTGCTTGCACAAAATCAGTAATGTACAAAACGTATTGTGCATTGTACTTTGGCATAGCATCTCTTTAAAGGTCGTACATGAATTCGCATATTTGTAGATGACATCCAGTATATGGTTTTCAAATTGTCGTGTCTGAAAAGATTTTGTCTGCAACAGGCTGAATTCTGATGCAATGTTGACAAAAACCATCCAAGAAAAATTGTGAAAAATCCAGGTTTCGGTTAGGCACAGTACGGTGTACCAATGTGCTGCTCAGGTGCATAAGAACAAAGACACCGCGGCATAAACCAAGATGGAGAGGAGTCCCAAACCTGTGAGGAGCGGCGCCACTCCCAGCACGTTTTCCCGTCCGTCGACACTCCCGCTGCTGACGTCGCTGCCCTCCGAGTGCGATGAGCGATGTCTCCGGTACGCCGCCTTACTCAGGTTCTGGTACCTCTCCCCTCCCGAGGCTTCCGCACCGGCCTCGTCTTGTGACAGAAGGAACGGTCTGGCGCCGAAGCGGTCGCGAGGCGTACCAGGCTCCGGCGCAAACGGCGTACAACCGAACTCATCTGTACCCGGGTGGATAACCTGCTCAAAGGGAGTGGCTCCAAACATATCTGTAGAAAAGATAAAACATCATGTCTCATTAAAAAACTCCTAGTTGAAACGTAACAGGACATATAAACATCATTGTGTAAACATAGGTTAAAAATATAATCTATGTTTACTACCATATAAGCACATATAAGAATGTTGGTACAAGGCGACAACCAGAAAATAGTACTGTATGTGAATGTTAAGTATGGAAGAAAATGAACAAAATAATCACAAAGGTCATCATAAAAATACAAGATGTACAATGTAACACCCAAAGAAAATATAACATTGGACAGTTGGCATTTTTGCCACACATAGTGACACTTGACCATAGGCTCTTACACGTAGAACAGTAATACTGGTGGTAACTACTGAACACTGGGGACTGGGATAAAATAGCAACACAAAGCACTTGCACTTCAACCAAGAAACAACTGGACAACAAACTTCAGAGTGAACAAAGTTCAGAACACCTTGAAAAGGGGAAATAATAAAAGATAATCCAGAACTGCACAAATGACACAATGAAAACAATCTGAACACCAGCAACAGCTTACAACATTAAAGGAACATCTAGGCATGAGCAGAATGAACTTAGATCATGCATCCTATATAAGAATTTTCAAACTTTCATTGCCTAAACATTTCATTTATTCCAATGGATACAATGTGGTAGTAAAAGTTACAATAAACATTCTCTGTTGCCTGATTACTATAATTGTAGAGGAAATGTGACAGTCTGTTTATTCTTTTCTGAAAGGTCATACCAAAAATACTATCAGTAATTCCATGTAACAACAATCTTTCCTACTATGCTGCACTTGCTGAATGTTTAAAACTGCCTTCTCATTTCTTGATTTTGTTCTATGGGAGGAATAGATGAAACTGCTGTAAAAAAATGAAGAATATTCCATGCATTGGTTAAAGAGTCTCTGTTTCCCCTTCATTTGCGATAATGTACAACGTGACTTGCGATACCCCCAGAATCTTGACATACTTGCATGAGTACAAGGGCGTGGCATCCAATCCTCCTAAAACTCTTCCCACCATTGGAAAGGCAGTATGAGAGGCAACAGAGGGGGAAAGCAAGTGTTAAACAATCATGCTCTTCAGCAACCAACACTTTTGGGCTTCTGAAACATCAACCACTGGAGCTTTATTTCAAAATTTGTCACTGCGAACTTACCAGGTGACCAGGGAAAAGATAGGCACAATCACATTATGCAGCTGACCAATCAAATACAATATGTTACGCAATGCCAACATCTGATTGGCTGAAACAACCCCTGCTGTGATTGGTGAAGTGTTTCTGTTCTGTGATTGGTTGGTTCTATATATTGTTGATACTTTTGGTTGGTGTGACGACATGATTACAATATGGCCTGCTAAATGCTGTATAACAGGAAACAGAACAAAAAGCTAGATGATGTAAAATGCAACTCAATATTGAATCAGGAGTAATAAGTAGAGTAGTAAAAGGCAAAAGCTTAGCAATGCATGTTCAAAGATAGAAGTTAGATGAAATGCTCCATGATACAATCATCCAACAAGCCTGTGAACAATATTCACAACATCTGCCATTAGGATATCTACCATTAAAAGAATGTCTGATACATTTCATCCATTTTTGATTATTGCTTTTGCTCTGTTTCTTCTTCTTCCGTTTCAAACAAGTAAGGTAAATGATCTGGACATAACACTAGTAACAGTAACTTGTGCTGTAGCAGACACTTTGTGGTGTTGGATTACATTATGTAGCAATTGGCAGGACACTGGGGCTGGTCTCCATACATTTCTAAAACAACAGGAAAGCCTTGGAAGAACATCACTACTTTTGGTAATGGACTATTTTACAGTGATTTAATTCAATGGTGATGTGTTTTTTGTTCGTCTCATGTAGTTTACAGCTATGTACATATACAGTACATTGCAACTCAGATACAAATGTAATATGGCATTAATTGCTTTATAGACCACTAACATACTGCCAACTTGGTCAATTTTGTACCACTCTAAAGAAATTATGTTGTCTTGTTCATAAGAAAAATTAGTGCAAACATGATGGTTCTTTACTCAGCACCAATGTCATGAACATCATTGAATATTCCTCAACTTATCTTAGTTCAGATTGAAAATCGTTTGAAGTAGTCCTTCTTTTAAAACATATAATATTCTTGAAGATCCAAATAAACAGATCTATTCGCCTCCAAAATTCCATATGCCAAATTCTGTTCTTGTACTTCTCTCCCTACACCTAATCTTTTTAGAAACATTCGTCCAGGAACTGTTTATTTTGCTACAAATGGGCAAAACAAACTTTGGATGTCATGGTTTCTATGTTGTATAGGGTATAAAATTGTCCAAGTGCACCAATCTTAAACATATGGATATATTATGTCTATACATGTAGCTTACTGCTTGCTGTTAAGGTTAAGTGCCACAGTTTTGGACTCCGTCAATGGTTATGGCTGGGTGTACTGTTACATTTGTACATCATATCTTTGTTACCTTGTTTTTAATTGGAGTACTGCAGACCAATCACAGACCACTTTCTGCAAAGTGACAGTGTCATCATGTGATTGGTCCATTCAAATGTATCACCTCAGCATGTGATTGGCTAGTCTCCAACCAATCACAGAGTCAAAACCCATGGTGCTTCATTTGCATATGCACATCATGAAAGACAAGCACAGCGCCAATTAAGAGGGCAGCAAAACTACATTGATAAGTTTAGAATACATGTACCAGTCCTGTTTTACGATTTACGAAATAATAACTTATTTTCTAAATACAGCATTGGTTACTAAACACTATGGTAGGGTAATTATAGATTGTTAGTACATTGTCAAGTTTATAACCTAATCATCTTTTCTACATGTACATGATCAACAGGTCCTGCTAACAACTCTTCAGAAATTGCATAAGTTTTACATCTCTGAAGCTACTGCACTTCTCTTTCTCTGTGTCTATCTACATAAACATGTACTACAGGGCCTAGCTATTGTACACCCACTCACCAAATACATCAACAACCATTCTACTTTACATGGTACTGCACACACATCTAAATATACACCAGCTTAGGATCAAGCAAATGCAACCCAAAAAACTTTCTATGAAAGTTCAAAGTCGTGTAGATAGCATTTTCATGACGAAGTCTGAGGTGATTTTAGAATTGAATTACATTTGAATTTTTCATAGATTTTGAGTTAAGTTTTTTGTTCACTTCATGTTTGTAGCTAACAACTTTTACAAACAGGTACAATGTAAAGTACAAGGTGAAATGACACATAGCTGTAGGTACGTTGTATTTCAAAACTATGAAGAATCTTGCAATCTTGGGACCTTCATACAATGTATCTTCAAGCATTAATCATAGTCCTGCTTGGTTATAGACCTGGTACAGATATATCGTACATGAATGTACCTTTTACATCGTAAATTGTAAACTTTAAGCTTGATTTGGTGTGACATTGTCAGTCACAGTGAGTTATAATAATTCTATTATATCTTTTGTCCAGGGTATGCTTTTGTGTGTATTCAAAACTACATTTTTTACATACATTTTGTAGAATGCACAACCCTCAGAAAAAAATAGCACATGCACTATTTCAGTATTTGTGCACATATTATGATGGACATGTGCAAGTATTGGTGGGCTGCTACCAAAGCAAAGATGTGCAAAAACAGTGAAGGAAACAAAAGCAGGCAAGACTTAACCTATATCAGCTACCTTTAAGAAACAAAACAGTTTTAACAAAACCTGCCCAGTTAGAGTTCTGAACTAAAGAGTGCCATGTACAGTATCACTGATATCTAATATACTAGTAGTCTAACATGGAAGAGTTAGGAGGACTGGACATCGCAAGTAAATACTGAAACAGAACCTGTGTTTTCCTACTCAGGAAAATACTGACATACAAAAGTTCTGTGGCAAAGGTTATTTTACGCCTGTTTTCTGTGATGAGAAAAAAATTGTTATCATTGAAAACCAAACTACATGTTATGAAAAATTGACATTAAAAAAAGATGGAATCTCAATAAAGTAAAACCAATAAGAGAATGTTACTGTATATCTTAATTATTCGAACCCCACAAGAAATATGTTTTACCAGTCAGGATACAGACTGGCAATACTTTAAACAGCTTTGACTTGCAGGAACCTATCTAGACCGAACACATCTCTTAACAACAAAATAAGACAAGAAAATAACAAGAAAAGAAGAAGTTGACAGCCATGCATCAATGTGGAAAGAGCATGCAGTGGTATACAGGTATACAAAAAATACGCCCAAAATTTGATCATATTCTACAGGGAAAAATGATTTCGAGATTAAAAAAACTAAGGCCCCAAAATTCATGATGTTAGTGGTGATTCAAGTACTGAATGAAAAAAGGCAAATGCACCTTGTTTTGCCGATGTATCCATTTATGGTATTACCTACCTTACCATTGCTTGAGAGTCATATTCTGCACATAGAGTGTAAAATTCAGTAGCCAATGACAGCATGTAAAACTTCACATCATGTGTTATTGACTCAGACCTCTGACTACTTATGTCCATGACATGGTATTTCATACATTTTCTCATCTTACATCAACATACACTGAACCTTTTAGTATCTTCAATATACCTCAAAGTGGTGACAGGAAAAGCTAAGTCGGGAATGGAAGCTTAATGTACAAGATTTGAATAAAAGTTTACATGTAGAACTCACAATACTTGCATCAGGTGGTACAAGGGCAGAAAGTCAAAAGACATCTCAAATCTAAACTATCCTTATGATTACATGTATCTTGTACCTCTACATTTTTGCCGAAAAAGGGGAAGCATATACATATATCTATCTAAAGCTTCACTCAATAGGCTGAAGTGAGAATTCATAAAATATCAACTGCAGTTAGCAAGAGTGGTTGCTACCACATTCGACAACATAGGTAAGGAAACAAGATATATCACGCCGTTACATGTACAAGGGGGTTCCTCAAGGGTGCATACATGGTCCCCTGCTAAAGGTCCCTTAGAAGTCAAAAAGTTCTCTAATGGTTTTGTTAGACCTTGCTCATGAAAAAATTTGCTTAATAAGCAGAAGCTTGTTATCTAGTTGACAGAAATGAACAGCAGAATTACAGCCAATCTACAGAATATCTAAGATGATTAGATTCATGACAGCATTAGCATGAAAACTCTTCTGTGTCAGAGGTTAAGAAAGTAAACAGCTTGACTGTGTTCCATAACAACAAAGTAGTCCCTCCTAGTGCATGACTTGCATACCTGCACAGGTGCAGGAAACATTGAGAATTACCTGCACCAGAACAAGTTTTACCTGCACCACTCAGAATGTAGGTACTGATCATTCCAAAACCTGTTCATTGCCATGACTTCTTTTACTCATCATAGTTTACACACACATTAGAAAATACAGCAAATAAAAAATCTACATATTAAACCTATATGTATAACTAAACCCAGTACATAGACCAGTATAGGTTTGGTGCAGGTAGACTACAGAAATACCTGCACAGATCCAATTTTACCTACATTAACCCGCATATGCAGGTGGTATTTCACACCTTGCATGTTTTAAGTGGTCATTCAAACCTGCAACACTAATACCAACAGTTAAAAGTTCCAGGAGACTTCCTTGTTGTGTTGGAGCACTATTAAGCTGTTTACTGTTATGACAGTATTTTAATAGGATCAAGCCGTTGCCTGCACTGCTCAGATATCGATGAGCTTACCTTCGGCGGGCTGGTTGACAGGGGGTTGGGGGGCTTGCCGTTTCTTTCTCTCACCACTGTCGCTGGAGTGTCGCGAACGCCCACCTGAAAACAACAACATGTTTACAAAACTCCCGTCAACAGTGTACGGGTGAGGAGAGTAATTATTCAATGATGTTAGTAGAATTAAAGCCTCAAAATATAAGCTTAAAATGAGAAAGTTGCATAATTTTACAATCGTAAGCATAAGTTTATTTTGTATACCTATTATATGCTTCATAATTCTGCAATGGAAAATAGATTGTGTGTAATCTGCCACTTAACTAAATAATTATTAGAACAGTAAGACTATCATCAAGAAAGGCACTGAAAAAGCTGTGGTTGTAGATGTCTGAGGGACAGCTAGAGGCGTGCATGTACATTGTACATGTACAATGATATATCTCATTACACATCTGTGTAAAACAGACAATAGAGAAAAAAGACAGTCACAGTCAAAGTCACCCTGCCATCTACCTTACAGCCATTGGTGTTACTAACCCTGCACAGAATAAAATAGTACTTCATAGTTCAAGAAACAGAGAAAGAAAGAAGGTTGATTCTTATGGTCTGCTGAAAGTGAGTTGAGATTAGGGCATTGGAAGCATGTTGGGTGTTGCATTATGATTCTGTAAGGGGGACACACAAGTTGATAAAGACCCTGTCCTGTGCTGTTGATCATAATTTGGTTAGGAATGCAGGCAAAGAGGGTTGAAAAAAAGGTTGTTTTGTACAGTTAGTAACAAGGGACAGGGTGTGTGCAAACGGAAATTTTACCTGCAAAGAACAGAAAGGTTAGTCATCAACTTAATTCACTGGGTCTCTGGTGGTTCATTTTTTTCTAAATTGCTGAACTAGAAAACGTTGCATTCTGCCTAAATTCTTACTTTAATCATCATATTCATACTTTAAAATGTCAGAGAACCAAGGAAATAAATTGGTGTCATTTTAAGGTACAAAATACAGGTACATTGACCAGTTCAGTACAGGTTAGCAGAAAGGATGGTGTCCTGCAAGTTACAACAATCACAGGAGAAAGAAAACAGCCGGCTTGGGGAAAACGGTTTCTTCTTGCTGGCAGTTCTGACCCTGACACCCGGTTATACCTGCTGCCGTGACATCTGGAGTGAGGAAGGGGTTGGTCGAGGTCAGGTCAAAGTCTCGTGGGCTGCTCCGACCGCTACTGCTCGCTCTTGAGCTTGAGCTGGCGTTACCGGACAAGTCTAGGAGAAAGAGAGCCATGCAAGACGGAAATACACTCAACACAAGGATTACAAGCAACTCCACACCCGAGGTGTCACCAAAAAAAAAGTATGACAGACACAACATAAGCAAACATCTGTGAGCTTAGAATTCAAACAGCCCCACCCTCAATGTTTCACCAAAAACAATTTACATGTACTTAACTGGACATTTCTATTACTCAGAGGATGCAGATACATGTACCATAGAAAATAACCAACTTATTACACAGAATGATTAAAGATGATCCAAAATTAAAAACACACCTTGAATCTACAGAAATAAGACACAAAGTGTGATTTGATATTCAGATGAAAGTAAAGATCTTAAATGTATTTGTGGAGATAGTAAGTATAACTTTTAGCTTGGAAAAATCCTTTTTCACCCTTCATAATAGAAGACTTGGCTGAAAATGAAAGACTTATTGTTGATACCACCATAGTAGGGACAATGGCGAGAGAGAATGTGATGATCAGGAAAAAAAGGCTACGTGAGAACTGTTGTAAGGTCATACCAATCCATTTTCTTGATTCTTGGGACATTTTAATTTTGTTCTGGTAAGAAAATTAGCACAAAAATAAAACAAGGGGCTGTGAGGAAAGATTGAATCTGACTTGAACCTACTCCCTAACACTGAAAACCAACAATTAGATTGGTATGGCCTTGAGTATTTCATAGCTCCACCCACCCTTCAACTCTTAACCCAATCACAAATACCTGCATCTGGTTGGTCAGGCATGAGGAAAGGGTTTGTTGTTGGGTCCAGAATTAGCATATCACTTGGAATACCCTCTGGACTAGCAGCAAGGCTACAGTTCATTTCAGACTCATCACAGTCCTTATCTGACACCACTGAGGAATGACCAACATGCAGTCTTAACAGTGTGTTTTGACATGATGTCTGCTGCAATGAGCAAAACTCTGACGCAATGTTGACAAAAGGTCCAAGGAAAAAGTGAAAAAAAAGTTTCGCGCAGATGTAGTATGTTCTGCTGATGCGCTACTTACTGCTAGCTTGGGAATTTTAGTAATATTATAAAAGCTACAATAATTGTTGCTGGACATAAAATCAGTAAGTACTTACAATAATCTATAAGTCCAGCATACTGAAGATTCTAATAGATACAAACATGGACATAACACTAGTCTTGATTGATCTTAATACCTTTTGTAAAGTCTGACGCTAATTCAGTCTGCTGACTGCTATGTCAGATTGTGTTGAGTTTCTTGCAATAAACCAATCATCATCATCAACACTATGGAAAAGAAGGAGGGAAGAACGTTTGCAGTGCTTACTCGTCTCAGACTTGGCTCTCTTGCCGAGCATGTCGAACTCCTGTAGTAACTTGTCCTCCGAGGTGCTACTCGTGTTTCCACTGCCGGACTCCAGGAACGGGTTCCAACTGGACAGTTCCAACTTCGGGCTGCTTGGGGGGGTGTGGTTTGGGGTTGTTCCTGTGGGAGGTACCAGGTGAAAGGTTAAAGGACTATAGGTGAAAGTTCAAGGGGTTAAATGCTTTTTTTTCCCTTGACATAACTGTCTGTACACCAGGACACCTGAAAGTTATTACTTAACGCAAGACAAAAGAAAAGGATGGTAAGTTAAGAGAAAGAGTCTCAGTCATGCATTTGTTCCCAGTTAGTATCCTGTAAGAGTAAGTGAGTTAGTATGAGAGATAGTCATTTACAAATTTAATTATAAGGTGTTATTTTAATCCTAAGGGTGAAGATAGAAGGGTAAGTTCAAACAAACGTCACACAGGCTTGAGTTAGTACATGAATGGTGACAAGTTGGTTAAAACCAATTGTGTCAATGGCCAGGTTTTATTAGAAGAATGCAAAACAATCAAATCAAGAGTTACAACTAGACATGGATGACAAGGACGAAACTGCAATTTCTCTCCAGAAAATTCCTCTCAAAATTCCAGATAGTAGCATGAATAAACATTTTGAAAAGTGTCCAATGCAAGATCCCTGCACCACCACCCGTTAGAAAAGCTTGGAGAAATTGGCCATGCTTGAGTTTGCAACACAGAAACGGCGCTCACTCTTTTTGTCAGAACGGGGGAAGGACGTTCGTACTATGACACAAAACGGGTTCCGCGCTCGTGGCAGAACCCAGAACTTGGGGCTTGTTAGTGGAGTGTTCACGGGGGATGATCCTACACGGTAGTGGAAATGGCAACACTATGATACACCAACAACAATACACGAATATTCAGCATGTCGGCAGAACGTACTGCGTCCGCTTGAAACCAAGATTTTTTAGTCTTCATTGGATACTTGATCAGTTTTCTTTGGATCTTTGGTCATCAGAATTTTGCCAGTTGCAGACAATATCTTTTCCAAGACATTTAAAAACTATAGACATGACGCCATCACGAAAACAGCCTTATATTTATAAGAGCTGTTCTGCTTTAGTGCGATACAGAATCCAATACAGGTTTCCCACAGGCACAGTGCATTCTGCTGACATGCTTGTACATATAAATTGATCCAGAGTTTTCCCCAGGGTTATCAGGTACATATAAAAAATACAGAGCTGGGAAAAACTCTGGCACATTCACATGGACCATCGATTAGAAAATCAACAAGACGGCATGAAAAATAAAAACTTAAAGATATAAATGAGATAAATTATTACATACATAGTTCTTTCTTGCCCAATTACCAATGTTCATTTTAAAACTTGTTTTTGATATCATGACAAAATTTTCATCAATCAGTTATTAGGCAGGAAAGAATTGGTGATAAAAACAAACAATGGGCTAAGAATTAACTAAGAAAAATAAAAAAAAGAATGATAGAAAGTAAGTAGTGTAGCGTATTCTCAACAGACACACATGCAGAATTCCTTCCATACCTGCTGACTTGGACCTTAGTTTCTCAGCATCTACTCCTGCCTCTGGGTTCAGTGTGTTGGAATCTTCCATGAAGATCTTGAATGGATCGTCTTTTGAGCCAACACTGATGGCAGAGGTGTCACTCACATTCCTGAGGCACAAACAGGAGTGTAGAAGTGTTAGAATCACCTCAAGGTAAAATGGGTAACTGTAGCGATTTCTCTAGAGTGACTGCCATTCGGCGCTAACTCACATGACCTCGATACAACCCCAGATATAGCCATAGGTCTGTAAGGTTTGAACCTCATACAAGTAAGTGTGGTGGGATCTTAAACATCCTAGAGGTGTGGCTCTCCTCAAAGAAACTCTGGCTTTACAGTACATTGTACATCCTATCTGCAAGAGCATTCATACATGTATACATGTAAATGGTCAGATAGGAGTCTAAATCCCTCCTGCTATAAAATTGCAGCATGATGTAACCCAACCCTAGTTGCCATAGTGACAGACGTCTGGTCCTGGTCACTGACCTTATGTGTCTGGAACGGAAGAAGCAGAAGAAGAAACAGAGCAAAACACAATATGTTTTCCTTCTGCAAAGGTAAACATAACAAACACACAGACGTACCTTCTGTGGCTGGACTTCTGTTGCGGAGATGAGGCAGGGGAACCGATGGACACCAGCGTGGTGTCGATAGCGGGCGGGGCCGGGGCGGCGGCCTTCGCTCCGGGGGCTTCTGGGACCTTAAAGGCATCCGTGTCTGGAAACAGGTCCTTCCGCGCCTGCAACACACACAAACTAGTCACACACACCTCCCTGTGTCCATAATTAACAAGACATGTGTTTAGGGGACTTTCTCTTTAAAATGATTCACAGGGAATATCCTAGCAATATACATACAGGTAGAATGATGTTAAGACAGTATACATACATAAAGAAGGATGTTTAAGACATGAAAATGAAGAACAACTGCATTTGTGATGGAACTGTATTGTATAAACACAACCCTGCTTCAAGTGCATCAAAAATCAAAAAAGTATTTTTCATATAACATAACATAACATTACATGCCAACATTACAATATTTACACCATGTACAAGACAAATCATTTCATTAAAACACATTTCTTAAACTAATCACGTTACCCCTAAATAACAGTGATAAAAGATGATCACATTTAGAGAAAACAAATGACTTCCACCAAGACAATAAAGACAGTGCTGCAAAAGAAAACATACTACTTTCATAGGGTGACAAGAGAAACAGAACAGGACATTGCAGCTAATCTTGCCAGGTGCATTCTACCACCTGTACCCACCTCTTCCTTTTCCTTTCCTTTGTCTGTTTTTGTATCTTCTTCCTCTTTATCATCGGCAAAAAGGGGATCAAGAGCGGCCAGGGGGTCATCACGTTTCTTTTTAGCCAATGGCTTGTTGTCCTTTTTAGCGACCGGCTTGTCGACCAGTCCTAACTCTTTGTCAAGGGCAGCTAGAGGGTCTTCGTGTTTTACTAACGGTTTTTCCTTTTTAGCGACAGGTTTGTCAACCAAGCCCAGATCTTTCTCGATCTGAACTAAGTCGCCGACTTCAACAAGGGGTTCGCCGATCTGAACTAGGGTTTCGTCAATTTGGACAAGATCGTCACCGAGTTTGACCAGGGGTTCGTCTACCAGGAGGGGGGGTTCTTCGACTTGTACGAGGGGGTCTAGGGAGACCAGGGAGTCTTCGGTAGCGGCTGCGGGTGGCTGGGTGTCGTCGGCCGTGGCGGCCTGACTTGTCGGCTGGGTGACATGCAGCAGTTACAGAGAGCAGAGGGGACAGAGAACAGACAAGGTGTTAGTCACAATCCCTGGAGGAGGTTATGACTGTTTAGAAGAAGAAATTCTTCACTCAGATGGTCAAAATGTACATTTTGTATATACCGTAATTCTTTCTTTTTATTTTTGCGAAAACATGTCAGTCAGGAAAAAAAAACTTGGGAAAGAAAACTCACTTGAGTTTGAAAATGAATTCTGCATCATTTTTCAATAACATTCTGAGTGATACTACCTGAGTGAAGAAAGTTGGGGGGTAGCACACTTAGGAGATACAAGCACAGCATACAATGTAAGTCTTGCAATTGTCTCCTTGGGGTAGTGCATGCAAATGTGGCATAAATGTATTAGAATGTAAGTACTGCAGTTAGATAGTGTTATTGTAGACATAGTAGATACTGTTATTGTACACATATACATGTACATGTAACGTACATGTAGAAGCAGAAAGTTAGGAAGCTTGCATAAGTGGGGTCTAAGACTTAGTAAGAGATCTAATCCATGATACAGACCTGTGGTACTATGGTACAGACCTGTGGTACTATGGTACAGACTGGTGGCACTATGGTACAGACCTGTGGTACTACATGTATGGTAAAGACCTTTGAACTATGGTACAGACCTGTGGTACTATGGTACAGACCTGTGGTACTATGGTACAGACCTGTGAACTATGGTACAGACCTGTGGTACTATGGTACAGACCTGTGGTACTATGGTACAGACCTGTGGTACTATGGTACAGACCTGTGAACTATGGTACAGACCTGTGGTACTATGGTACAGACCTGTGGTACTATGATACAGACCTGTGGTACTATGGTACAGACAGTGGTACTATGATACAGACCTGTGGTACTTGATTCTGCTGTGCCTGACTAGCAGCTGCCTGCTGTGCTGATGTAGTGGGGGTGGGGGGCTGCAGGCTGATCCCTATTTCTGAAACACAACCAACACAAGTTTCATAAACTTTATTGAACAACTATTGTACAAAGTATGGCATTCATTATGTTTACCGTTTTTGCTACGTTTCCCCTTCTTCTCCAAACCAAAAAGGTCAATGACCTCAACCAGACTGTCTGTTACCATGGTAAGTAGTGTTCTGTTACATCAAGTTGCAATTTTATAGCAGGAGGGATTTAGACTCCTTTCTGACCATATACATGTATATAAAATACTTGTATGTTTGAGTAAGAATTAACAGAGCAAACCATATGCGAAGGTAAACATTATGCATTTGCTTTGCAAATGTTATCTCTCTAGTTTCATTATTAGAATCCAAATTGATTTCTACAAACACCGATTAACTTGCGTGCTAAATACATATATAAGGTTGTCTAACCAGCAGTTGGCGTGGCGCTGGGCGTCGGCCTCTTACGCGGCGTGATGCTGGTCTCTATGGGGAGGGACAGGTTGGCCATCCCGCCGCCTCGCGGTCTCTCTCGCGGCGTGATGGACGTTCCGTGCGACGTCGCCTGTGGTGTGGCTCTGTAAACACAACAGTTACAAGTAGTAAATAATAAATAATCTTCATGAAAATATGCAGCACACTTACACTAAACACCTCAGAATGATACTGTGGATTCCTTTACTTTTGCAGTAGTTTTATTTCACAGCAGGAGGAAAAGTGAGTTTTTTGTAGTATTTTAAGTTATTGCTGAAACAATTCTGTAATACGCTGGAAATGCAGATTTACTGTATCATATACTGTATTAGCATTGTCACATGATAATTGCAAAAATAAAACCACCACAAATGATTCAAGAATAACAATACCCTCTTCTATATGCTACAAATATAGAATACACCTGTATGTATACACAGTACACAAATAATACAGTTGTTCTCAAAATTTGGTTTAACTTTTCCTTTTTCATTGCAAAAGAGTAACAATATATACTGTTTGAAGTAGATACATGTACTTTAAATATCTAGCCTAATGGGTTGGAGTTTAGCCATGCAGTCGGCATAGGGCATTACCTTGCAGTGCCGTCTGTCACTTTGGGTGGTAAGCGCCTGATCACAAGTAGCACCAAAATGGAACAAAACTTTAGCGGGTTAATGGCACATGGTACGTAGTAGAGAGATAGCAGGTAGGCAGAACGTACTATTGCACATTTACAGATGACACCCCATCTATAGTTTTCAACGATATTCATAATTCTGATGCAGACATCCAAAGAGAACCATGAAAAATCAAGCAGGCGCAGTACGTTCTGCAGACATGCTTAGGGAAGCAAGCAGTGTGCCAGGCAGTTACACATGTAGGGTGGTGCACAAGACAACAAATTACACAATTATGTTAGTTTTGCAGGAAAATTCCTTTGGCATCCTTCAGTACTAAAACATAACTCCATCATACATGTACCATGTCTTTGCAATCTACATTTCAGAAGAAACACCATTACAAGAAGTTAGAAAAGTATGCAAGACATAGAGAAGTACAGTATGGGAGAAACAGAGGGTTAGAGAGACAAGAATAGTTACATGTTAGAACATGTTAGATGTAATAACTTCTTTGGCTCATCACTAATGCTTAACACTAGAATGGCTGTTAACAAGTTAATTTTGATGAAAGAGGATTGACCACACATAGAAGTAACACAATCTTGTATAAAAACAAGAATTGTTACATGTGTCAGTGTTGGTTACTAAGTTGGTTACATGTACATTTACTAACATCTTTTAGACATGGGATTGAAACATGGTCTTTTTCTTCAAGTGTTTAAATGAAAGAACATCTTACCTTGTCCTGTTTGCCTTTTGTTTGGCCTTATGTTCACTCTCTGTCATTGGAATGGGCAGCTTACTAGGAGTTGGTGCATTCTATGGATGAAATAAGGTACTGTACATGTAAGTGCCTTTATCTTGGTGCTAGGGCTATGTACCTGAAATATTTCTTAAACATGTACATGTATCACCAATTACATGACTGCATGTGTAAGCTAAACACTTTCTGATGGTTTGATATTGAATACTAGCAAGACAAGGGTGTATTTTTGGTGCAGACATGTAGAGTATGTGTTCTATTATTGAATATAATCAGAACATGTCTTTCAGTGTCACAAGCACTTTAACTGGTTCTCGAAATACTGCATATGTACTAATATAGGTTAGTGCAGGTAATATTTCAGCTGTGCCTACCCTGAGGTTTTGGATGGGACAGCTCTTGCCGGACAGCTTAAATGCTACAAACGAAACCTGCCAGATGTTGGGCCGAATGTCTGGATCAACCTCCAACATGTAGCCTGGATGGGAAGACATAGAAAGAATATTGAAATGTTCTTGACAATATAATCTTTAACAAGCCAGAATTTAAGGGCTTGAATTAGTTTACCAATGCAGGGATGCAAGAAAAAAAATCTATTTAGTGCTGATATAATATAATCAATTCTTACTCAAACACATTCACATATATGGTGACAGGAGTCTAAATCCCTCCTGCTATAAAATTGCAACATGATGTAACCCAACACCAGTTACCATGGTGACAGAGTCTGGTTCAGGTCATTGACCTTATTGTTTTGGAGAAGAAGAAGAAGAGGAAACAGCAAAAACAATGTTTTCATTTGGTAAAAATAATTACAATATTGTAGCACTTACGTATGAGACTGTGTAGCTCCTTGGAATACTTGGACCCGTCTGGGATGGTGAAGTGTCCATCCTGGATAGCGATGCTGCTCTCACCGAAGGGTAGAGAGAAGAAGCAGAGTTTGTACAGGAGACAGCCCAGAGCCCAGATGTCAGCCTTGGTGGTGATGGTCTTGTTACTGTAGAGATCCACCATCTCCGGGGAGCGGTACGACAGGGTCGTGTATCTGTAACCAAAGGTGAAATCCATGGTTAGCTGGTTATTTATAGTCCATTCTCATTTCAATGGCCCTTGGGCCACACAGTTGCGCATGGTTATGGTAAATACATTTTTTTTTCCCGGGACATGAAGATAAAAAATATCACAAGATCTAGATAATTAAGCATGGATACATGGATACAAAGCAACATCATTTCTGTAATTTTTGTATCATTTCTGTATAGCACGTATACTAGTAACTGCTCATCAGTGCAGCATACCAGCTTTGCAGGCAAGCAGCACGGTGGCAGCTGGCTACATTACACTGAACAACCTAGTATGATTCTGCTTCTTCTTCTCATATACACTTGGACATTCTAAACATTACACAAAAAAGAGGACTTGCATTTTGTAATATTTCAAAACCCTGACAGTGGGAAATGGAAGTGACAATATGAGAAATGTTACTTTTTGATTTCCTCCTCCACCGGGCCGACGCCCACCTCCTGCGGGTTGGTGAACTTGGCCGTGGCGCTGCCGAAGTCACACAGGACGTAGTTCCCGTTGTCATGCCACAAGATGTTCTCAACCTGACAAACAGACAATAGCGAATTAAATCTTCAGAAACATAAGAATCAAAACACACTCGCATAATACAGGTATGAGGCATTAGCATTTCCAGGGCTTGAAATACCGGTAAATTTTTCTCTTCATTTGCAATATGTGATTTATAATATGGAAGGATGGATGGATGGATGGATGGATGGATGGATGGATGGATGGATGGATGGATGGATGGATGGATGGATGGATAATGGAAGGATGGATATATAAATGGATGCAATATGTAATTTATTTGATGGATGGATGGATGGATGGATGGATGGATGGATGGATGGATGGATGGATGGATGGATGGATGGATGGATGGATGGATGGGCAGACGGATGGATGGACGGATGGATAATGGAAGGATGGACGGATAAATGGATGTAATTTATCATATGAATGGATAGATGGATGGATGAGTGAATAAAAGAATGAATTAATGAATGAATGAATGAATGAATGAATGAATGAACAAACAATTACCTTGAGATCCCTGTGAATCAGTGGAGTCTGGCAGTGGTGGAGGCGGGACACAGCCTCACACATGTCACAGAAAATCTTCAGCACCTCGGCCTCCGTAAACCCCGCGGGCAGACGGTCGTTCATCTCCTTGATAACAGCAGCTGGAAGGTCGTACAAGAAGGTTCTTTACTCAAACAATCACGTTTCATTGAACATCTGTCACCTTCAGGGCAACAATGACTGGTTCTCATTTTTTTCTATTCCAACATTTATTTACAAGACATGGCGACAGCACACTAAGTTTTTTCAAATTATTTTTATGCTGCCACCAATGCAGACAAATGCATGAATTGACAACAGACATATGTACTCATTTTCACCCGAGTCAAGTGAGGAAATTTGTTCAAAGGCACAAGGTCGGTGGCATGGCAGGATTCAAACTCGCTCCGAGCCGAACACTCTGTCATTATGCCACATGACTGGTTCTGATTCATACTGCAGCTAGGAGCCGCTACTATGATGTTACAAATGTGGTCCTAACTTAAGCATAAAGCCTTAGTGTGTCTCATAATACATGTTGCTCAAAAACAGTACAAAGCTGGTGTGTTACGCCGAACAGCAGTTATACTGGCTATACTGATACAGATACAGTAATGATGTTTCATGGATGCAGCTCAAAGGGTTCCACAAATGGTCAGTTCATTATATCAGATAGGGTTTAAGTGACAATACTTACTCCTACAGAAATCCATGAGAATAAGGATCTCCCAAACTCCACTGCTGGATTTGTTGATGCTGGAGTCCACATATGGCACAATGTTCTTGTGTCCATTCAGTTGTTTCTGAACAAAGGAGAAAAAACATTACATTTACTATAGACAGGTCTGAGAATTATTAAATTAATGCTTGTGGCAATGGTAAAAATTATCGAAGGGATCACCATAAAGTGACCATATTGGCTAGGTGGTCCTTATGCATAGAGGTAGTCACTTGTACATGCTTGACTATATGGTAAGGACAATCACACATCATCAACAAAAAAAATTGGTGGAATAATTATTGAAATGTTACCTAATAGATAAAATATACCTGTACTGAAATTTGAAAGATGCTAAAAAGGACATTCTTATAGCCTGGACAATCATGCTTCTATATCCATGTATTGAATCTTACCAAGATGGTGATTTCCCTCTTGTAAATTGACAGGTCATGCTCGTTGTTTACAAACATTCGCTTCAGACCGAAGCGGCGACCCGTCTGCGTCGAGACACGGAATACGATGGCGAATCCACCTGCGAAGACGCGACAAAGTGATTCATCATCAAAAGATGATGGTACGTGTATTTGTCGTGAAGTTAATCTCACAACACAAAGAAATGTTTTGAACTATTTTATGCAAGGAAACAATAATGACACTAGGGTTTGGCTGTGAGCAGAGTCTAGTTTACACACTTGAATGTATGTTTGTAGGAATTGAACAAGATTATTTTCCTTGACCCTCACACTTCACTCAGCCAAAACATTTTTCCATCACCGTCCCCACTCTGTATAACATTCAACACCCCCTCCACTTAATATTATATAGTCTTATTATTGGCCACTGCTGGCAGTTAACGTTACACAATCATCACAAATATCGAATATTGGAAAAAACATAATTTTCGAATTCCAGTTCATAATTTTATCTATTTAATCTAACAACTGGTTAAGGATGGACATTACTTGGCCTTAATGTAATTTGATATCTAAGTCACATTGCCTGTTGTTAAAAGTCACAGGACTTAGAAACCACTGAGGGAGGGACCGAAAAACATCATGGGGGAGGGTACAAAATTGTGCATTTTTTCACCAATTTGTACACGTTCACTGTTTAAATTTGGTTTTATCATTCCTTTAAAACCCATAGAATTTTTAAGCTGATGTGTTGAATGGATTCATTAAAATTTCAGAGTAATTAAAATGTCTCCACCCCCTCTCCACCCTTATTAATGTTCCCTCCCCATGGCATAGACTGGCGATGACGTCATTACAGCTCCCAATGTCACCCGCGGCCAGCTGAGACCGCCACAATCTGACAGCTCTCATCATTTTTCGCTGTTTATTGGTGTCCTTTCGTCCGCCCCGCCTCCCCCACAAGGATCTGGATTAAATCAATCTCCATAAACGTTTAGCACTATTCCCCTGCCACTCCAAGGTCGTGTGCTGAAAATATGGAGCTTAGATTTTGTCCCAAAACGAGTAGTAAACCATCGCAGATCCAAATCTAGATCATGTGCCTGTCGGCCGAGTCTATGAAGAATTTGACATCTTTTCGCGAAGTGTGTGCTCAGACGGTTAGGAATCGATCGCAATTCCCAAACTCACACACGAGTCGGTTAAGGCCTTCACGTATTTCAAACACCGATGCTGTCATCTGAACACTACATACACTGCGGATTGTTCAGTAAAATTTTGACGCTGTTTTTGTAAACTCACTTTCTGTGTCGAGCAAAAATTTATGTCGTCCTGATGCTTGTCTGGTATGAAATAGCTTCAGTTCTAAGATATCTGTGGTTTTCTACTATCCGATATAAACTGTAAAGAGGTCTCACTCACCTTCGGCGATGACATCTTCTACCATTACATGATGCTGCCCGACGACAAATAATTTTCCCTCGTACTTTTTCGATTTGGGCTTCTGAACCTGAGACGAGATCTGCGAGAGCTTCTCCGTAAATCGCTCGCTGTATTTCTCGATTTTCTTCATCCTCGATCCTTATCGGCGACTCGCAATCAAAACAGACGTATTCTACGAGCTATCTTAAACGTCATATCATACACAAGTGGACAAGAGAAGCGGGATACAAATAAAAATTTGTCCCGTGTTTTCCTCTTCCTCTCCCGGCCTCGCCTTTTTTTCTTGCCAAGATGGCGGCAAGTTTTACCCAGCATGCGCTGCGGCGAAATGACACCTGGTTACCCTATTCTGTCACAATAACAAGTCATATCGATCTCAGTAGAAGATAATTAGTGAAAAGTAATTTAGCTTTCTGACAAACGCTTCAATCATGTTTCTGAATTGCCCCAAATACTGTAAATCAGCCATTTTCCACATTTCAACTTTATAGTGAGTAAATGTACTGAAAAATAGGTCAATGAGTTGAACTTGTGACATATTTTGATTAAAGTTATTTATTTTTCCTAAGCACAGTTGACAGGTAGAAAATAGTAACCATTATAGGTTTCATGAATATGTACAATAATTACTGGATCACTAGTTGGGATAGAGCCAAAAGAATAAGTTATTAGATAAGTTAAGTGGTTTCACAAACCAGTACTCAAAGGTATAAAAATGACAACCGAGAATCGAAGCGTCAAAAATTCATTTTCCCAGCGAACTACTTCAGAACGGAACCCCTTGCCATTAAATACAGCAAGGCCCTCTTAATTAAATGACTCAAAATCAGATGTGAATGATTTTAATTATGGTATGATATTATCAAAGCCATTCAAATGTGATATAAAAATCATGATCCAGGTTTCCACTGCTAATATAATTTGCTACTGAGAGAAGTAAATATTCAAATAAAAAAAGTTAACATCTGTACACATGCAAAACAAAATTATGGTTCAAATAGTGGGAAGTTGCCCAAATTTGCAGGTTTTACCAATCCAACCCATTAGTAGCTAAAAGTTGTATCAGTTTAGTTTTTTTTTGTAACATTACCAGTAAATATCAATTTAACTAAAAATATCAATTTCCTATTACCTTTTCTATAAAGTGTAAAGTATAAAGTGTACATACATGTAACTTGCACATTTATATGTCCAACATGAACATTAGGTTTTTCCTTTTCCTTGAATTTTGACCCAAAAATTATCATGTTGTTCTACATGTACATGCACATGTATCAAAGTGACAAAATGCACTTCAATTTAGTTTAGATAATTTTATATATTCAAGAAAAATCTATGCCTATTAATATTAAAGGTATGTCTGCTGTCATCATTGAATATTATCTTAGGTTCCTTCTAGTGTATATTATGTATATTTCAGTCAATATTCCTTGTATTGACAGTAGATTCTGGATCTAATTTCTCAGGTCCACCATAACAACAGTTTCAGTGGGCACCACATTCACATGGCAGCAATCCTGTGGAAACATAAGGAAACACATCAGTATGAGAGACATAACTACTGGATCTTTGTGGGAAACAAACTTGAAAACTTCCATGAAAAGCTTCATTAGGTATCAATAGATTGATGTAAAATAAAAGTTCTAGCAAATCTGAAAGACCTATAACTATAGGTATCAATGGATACTCACATTGGCTACGTCAATAGGATGTGTAATTATAATAAAGCTGCAAGACAGTTTTAATAGCCTGGGTGCCATGCTATTTGTATCCTGGGTCTCCCATACTTAACTTGATACCTAAAAATATTTTTCATTTTTCATAGTCATACCTTTCAGAAGACATTTTTTTCCTTCCAAATTTCACTTAAACATCTAAAAGGTAATAATATGATAGTACAAGTACATTGTACTTGAATGTGTACCTCAAACAGTGGTGGCTCCTTTGGATGGGGGTGGAAGCCTGTCTGTCTACAGCTGGCAACAAAATTTAGACCGTGGTTTGGAGTAAGCATAAAAATTCCAGTCCTGAAAAACATCATTTAGAAGAAATTCAGAATGCAAATTGTCCTTGTTTTTAAACACCACAGGTATTCCAAATCAAAGTCATAAAGAGATTGTAGGAAAATCATTCAGTCATCTACATTAGAATAAACACGTAAAATACTACAAGCATTCAATGTATGATTGTTTTAGTGGTAGCATTGTAGCTTGATATGCTTGACTGCAGTACTCACTGCTGGTGCTTGGGGGAGCACACAATTGCAATGGCCTCTGGCATCATGAGCTGATAGGAACAGTGTGTGTGAAGATCCACACTGGACAGGAATGCCGTCTGAGTGGGATGGGTCTGTAGTTGTAGAAGTAGACAATCATCATGTTAGAATTTCAAACTAACTACAGTTTCAACTTCTTGGAATGTGGTTAAACATCAACAGTATATCTTAAATTCAATGCCTGGTTCAGCATTATATTTGGAGAATCAACAATTAGATTGCTGTGCTCTATATAAATAGTACAGTGTTAAGCTAATATTTACCTATTGAGATTTACCACTTTTGCAGAAGGATTGGCATGACAGGTGTGACTCCTAAAACATGGAACACCTAACCAAAGCTAGGTACTCATTTTCACCTGAGTTGAGTGAGGAAATAGATGTAAAGTGCCTTTCACAAGGGCACAACACTGAGGTCTACAAGGGATGCAAACCCAGAACCTTCAGATTATATAAAATAATAAACAAAAATTGTAATATTTGAGGTCTAGTGGTAGTTTGGTATCTTAGCGTATTAGTCATAACCATTACAAAATGACTATACTTACATGAATCCATCCTAGTGTGATGAGCTCATGTTTGTCCTGGTAGTCAAACAGTTCCTCCTCACTCAGAGTTGTACAGGAGTCTGGGGTGCCACTCTGTTTGGGCACCAGCACATGGGTGATGGTGAAACTGTTCTGTTTCTGGATGGAGAAAGACAATTTTGCTTTGGTTACATCTAAAAAGAAAATGTAGTCCTATAGCCTTTATTGAAGCTGTATGGGCAGTCAGTTTTTAATTCAGTGTGTATAAGGCACAGTATTGGAAGAACATTTGTACCTGTACAATGTTCCCATTTGAGTAAAATCTGCTTTGATCTGGAAATTCTTAGAAACAAATTCATTGCACAATGATACATGTACATTTGTACAAATCATGTATACTACTATACTGTTTTAAAGAATGTTATACTTTACATATAGGAATAGATACCAGTTTTCCAGCCAGAATGCCACAAGTCTCGACGTTCTTGACAGTGTTTGGCTGGGCCAGGTTCAAAAACTTCAGCATGATCTCCTGTGGGACGACCACTTGTCTCAGGCCATACTTGTTGCTGCTAGGAACATCTGCAAGGTACCGGTAGAAAAAACATTCTAGACAATCATTCTTTTAAGATTTCCAAGATGCAAGTCACTTTTAACCTTGTCCCTGCTGCCTAAATGCATCACGAATATAAACTTCAGAAAGGCTACTTCAGCAGGAAGAAGGTAAAATATGTTGACCAATTTATTTCCTCAGTTTTCAGATGTTGGTCTACAGCGAATGTGACCATGCCGTAACACTTGTTCTGATGGCTTTCAGCACCAAGGACATGAACCTTCTCCCTACCACCTAACCCCATAACCAATACATATTTGGTACCAAACAGCTACCTTTATAGCAGGTTGAAGAATACAGTACATGTCAGTTCAAGTATGAGGACAATTGCCCATAAGCTTACCCTGGAGACTGGCTGGTTTTGTGGACCGGTCCACTGTTGGTACATATTTAGGGGGTGGCAGGCCACCTGGGGGCGAGTATGCTGGAGGTGGGGCTGAAGGTTGCACCTGTTCAGGCTGCACCTGTCCGTTCACCTGTCCAGGTAGCGTGCTCACGTTCCCAGCTGCTGGTCCCAGTTTGGCTGTATCTGGACCCAAGATAGTGGTGGTGATGACCCCACCCTTGTTGTCGTCCCAAGACTGAGGCTTACTGAAGGGGACCACCCCGTCTAAAGGCAGGACACCAGGAGGAACTGCCTTCTCCTCCAAAGTCCTTTCCTTCTCTCTCTCCAGTTCCAGTCTCTTTTGTTCCTGCATTCTTCTGTACTGCTCCTCCTGGGACTCCTTCCGTATTTCTTCCTTCTCCTCCTCCAGGAGGTTTTCTGCCATCCGTCGATCTTCCTCGATCTGCCGTTGCCTCTCCGCTTCTTTCTCTTTCTCTATTGCAATCTGTTCCATGATTTTTTCCTGGAGAAGATTGTGAAATCATGTAAGTGAAACATACCTATACAAATCCAAATGCTCAATTTAAGTATAGAGTAGAAAACTTTTTCTAGAGTAGAGAAAATTTCTAGAGTAGAGTATCCTAAAATTTTTTTCTATAGATTCAATAGCACAGTTAAAAATAGCATGGATTATACATATATGATGGTATTAATGTACATGTATGATGTTTCAACTGTCTACTTTGTGACATTATCAGCTTCATATCCCACCTTTTCCATCTCCCATTCCTTGAGATCTGCCATGTATTTCTCCGTGAGTTTCTTCTTGCACTTTTCTGCCACGGGAAAAACCATCTCCAGCTTCCTTTTGGTCGTCTGCTTGTCCTTTGCAGCAGCAGACTTGTATTCTGGGTGCTTGGGAAGCTTTTCCACAAACAGGCTGAAATTAAATGTGAGAAACAGGCTTGACTTTTGTCTTACATATATAAGTGGCAAGGTGGTCTTGTGGTTAGGAACCTGAAGGTTCTGGGTTCAAATCCCAGGCAGTCCCCATTGTTGTCATTGAGAAAGGCACTCTTTACACCTATTTCCTCACTTGACTCAGGTGAAAATGAGCCTAGCTTCAATAATCATCTCAGATAGGACATAAAGCCAGAAAAGCCTCATGAGAGAGCCACACCTCCAGCACATTAAAGAACCCACCACACTTATCAAAAAGAGTAGGGGCAAATTGCGACCAGTACCCTACCCTAACAATTTTGTTAACAAGCCTTAGCATTGTTTTCTGTCAGTAAACTAGCTAGACTTTTTCCAACTTTCCTCTCCCAAAATGTGTACAGGTTGGATGAAAGAAATATATTACATTTCCATCTACAAGTATTGTCTTTCATAAACATTATCTAAAGTGAAATAAGAAGACCAGTATCTAATCATGAAAACTCACGTGATGAACTTCATGTAGAGGATAAAAGCAGCCTCCAGGTTTCCCTCCTCATGGTAGACTGTGGCCTGTATATAATATAAAGGTACAACATTAGATACATATATGTATATACATTCAAGGCTGAATATTCCATTTGCATCTGTTAGTGCAGGTAAAATTGGAGCCATGCAGGTATTTCTGATGTCTACCTCAGTAAATTACACGTCTAGTGTACTGTAACTGCATTTTTCTGAACATATTTGACCATATATGTAACATTCAACAAACACACACAATTGCACCAAATACACACCCTGCTCCCAAAGTACTCAAAATCAAAATATGAAAAAGTCAATATTTCTCGGAAGATTAGCAGTACTGCCAGGTAGTCAGGTTATATGAGGTACTTGTCTGGAAATGACACCACAGTGAACAAGGCAGCCAGCTTGAAAAAATGCTTTGAAAAGCTAATAGGGCTTTGATAATCATTTTTAATATGTATACAATTTCAAAATAGGCCGGTAGCCCCTTGTATGAAAGAGCTTTAATATGGCGCCAAACCTCTGTACGTGAACATCTCACACTGACACATGATGACCACCCCTCAAATTCTACTACCACTTGCTACATAATGTAATCCAACACCACAGGGTGTCTTCTAGTGCACCAGTTACCATGGGGACAGCCATCTGGTCCAGGTCATTAACCATATTTGTTTGGAATGGAAAAAAAAAAGAAGAGTAAGAAGAAGAAGAAACAAAGCAAAACAATATGTTTTCCTTCTGCAAAGGTTACTATTACAAGGGTGCTTTTTGAAGCTGCCTGCTAAAATAAAAAAAGTGCTATTACTGAAAACACTATTTGTTTTTCTAGCATTTGAGTACCCACCATTCTGACCATCTCCACCCCTGAGCGGAAGTACATCCTCGGTGCGATGGAATCTTCCACCGCGACCGTGGCGGCCTTTTCTGACAGGATGCGGACACGCTCCGACGGCTGACCCGGGGACGGTGGCACGGTCAAGGGCATGGCTGAACGCAAACAGAGAAACAGTCGAGAAAAGTCAATCAGCCATGTGATACAGTATTTGTTTAATATGGAGAAGTTAATGTTACATCGCAATACTGAGCTGTGCCTGGAGTGTTCACAAGCTGGTAGCCTGGTATCCAGCTGTAGAGTCTCGCAAATAGTAATTTTATTAGTAAATCACAAATACATACTATGAAATAGCTATGGCATTTTGAACACTTGTTGATAAAAGCAAGGGATTTTTAGGACATTCTGTAGAATGTCCTTGATAGAAGTAGGGATGAATTGCTGTACATGGAAAAGTTGCTAGGTCAAGCCATAGGAAAGGTGTAATATTAAATATGCTTAATTTTTGCTCATCCTACAGGTAGATGACAAACATTTAAATTACTTCAATATCTTTCTTGGAATAGTGATTATTATATCCATTACGTTTTTATCAGCAGCATATATTATATGGTTTACTAGTAGTTTAACCATTGTGAGCTCAGAAAAGTAAAAAAAACTTAAATATGCATTATCACTGTGTCTAGCTGTTCACTGCAACAATTCAGATATAATAATTATATTTTGATATGTTATTTAAGACTTCAAATACTACATTATGGCGAATATAGAGCTTCAAAAGCTCTCAATCTCTTTTAAAACACATTTGTGGTCATTTTGGTTGAGATGTATGTTCTTACCATGATACTCCTTGTACAAACTTACAGTACCGTTTTCAAGGAACAAAATAATATTTTCACTTCCGGGTCTCGAATTTTAGTGGGTGTTTTCAATGCCTTGCTTTCGGTATCACTCAGAAATAAGATGAATAGGACTTACCTGTCCAATATCTGTATACAAAAATTGACAAAATCAGGCGTGCCCTGCAAGTAAAAGGTTATTATTATGACTAATTCTTCGTACAGATGTTTTCGATGTCAAAATGACGCCATTTTTGGCTGTGAGTCAATGTCCAATGACTACGCTGGGAACAAGAAAGTTTAACCTTTGACCTCTGATCTCGTGCCCATATACACTGCACAAATATTACAGTAGCATGAGAAATAATCGCTTGAATGAATAGATTGATAACTAAATGACTGACTAAATGACTAAATCAATGAATAAATTGTTTATGACTGCCAGAGAGGCTACAGATTATGCTATCAATACGCTTATGTCCGTATGCAATACTGACGCAACAGAGACGCCATGCGGCCTCCTTAGGGACTGCGGCAATTGTTTTCATGGGTGAAAATATATGTGGACGGGACTGAAAATATTTGCGATGACCGTGTTTGACATCATAGAGTGAGTTCGCATCATCAGATGTGGCCAGGACATGCGGAAGTTGCCACGCTCATTACGTCCATATACCCACCTGATAATGTACCCATGTCAGGTGTGAGGAGAACATCATGATTTCCCCATGGGTCGTGCGGGCGTCCAAGTTCAGAAAAAAACATGTATCTTTTCCAGGTTTGACTTCTGGTGCACCGTCTGGCACCTGATTTGTGCCGCATGTATGAAGTTGAAAGCGATTTCAAGAGTTAAATCAAGGTCATTAAACTGTCCTTTTTGCATTTTTACTGTTTTCACTTCGCGTTGCAGTGATGTCATTGTGTACATGGGCAGTACTAGTTGTCGTTTAACGCAGATGTTAGCTGTCCACAGGAAGAAACGACTAATAAAAGAAAACGAACACGACCTAGTTTGAGGTTTACGGATTTCCCATAGGCGCGTCAAGGTTCAGAAAGCTTCTCCATGGCTGAGAACGTTTGCCCTTGCATGTGGCAGACTGAATAAAGTCTATATCACGTTCGAGTGGAATAGTGACATTTGAAATTGGTACGTACCCATTACAAATCTCGCCGGACATTTTTTTTCAACTACAAATCAGTTTTCTGATAGTGACATGTTGACAGGGTTCGGATTGCCTGGCCCTAATTACTCGCCATGGCAAGATTAGAGGGAAGGGGATAAAAAACGTCGTCTTTGAGAGACCCAATCGAAGCATGGCATGCAATCAGAGAACTCGCCAAGCAATCAGATCTAGAACCTATCAGAAAATGCCTGCCAACCTGCCTGTATGCACAGGCCAGGTACTGGCCCCTTGCTCCCCTCCGTCAGGTTTCTCCAGCCGGCTCTATCAAGGGCAATAGTCTCTGCTTCCCTTAGGGTAAGCCCTAGGGTGTCACTCTGAATCTGGTCTTTCCACCTCTTGGGTGGTTTTCCCCGGGGTCTAGGGGTTTGAACTCCTGATGGTATGCCTTATAAACTAAAGTGTTTGCTGGTCTTCGCATCACATGCCCAAGCCATCTGAGCCTTCTAGTGTGTATCTTGTCAATGATAGTTTGTTCTGCCCCGAGTCTTGACCGGATTTCTGCATTTGGGGTGCGGTCCCGAAGGGTGATGCAGAGTATCGCTCTTAAGCATCTCATTTCAAAGGATAACAGGAGAAGTTCATCCGATTTTTTCATGGTCCGTGTTTCACATTCATATGTAGCAATTGGCAGAATAAGTCTAGGAACAGCCGTACCTTGAGGTTTTTGCTAATATCCCTTCGGCTCCAATCTATTTTTCTGAGCCTGCTAAATGCTGAGGCAGCTAGCGCTAACCTCCTCACTAGTCGTACCAGGGAGGACACTTCCAAGAAAGACAAATTCAGAGACCTTCTCAACTGCTATGTCTTCTGTCATGATGTTATCTATTTCCTCACTAGTGATAACTTTACATTTTGCCGCATTTTTTACATGCAGACTCAAGTTCTGTTGTAGAGATTCGGAGCTTTCTAAGTATAGCTGCGATAAGAGTGGTGTCATCAGCATATCTCTCTAAGATCTTCAGTGGAGAGGTTGTCATGTAGCTGAAAAGTGGAATCAAGACTTTTCAGCTCATCCATCACAAACGTTAGTTAACTCAAGAAATATGTTGAAAAGGACAGGTGACAATAAGCAACCCTGCCTGACTCCCACTCCGTACCTGGAAGCTCCGTAACTGGTGATTTGCCTGTTGATAATGACAGCACACTGAGTGTTTTCGTACATTTCTTCTATCAGATCAGAATCTTATCAGAAAATTGCGCATACTAAAAATGTGGCCGGTGGGGTTTGCAATAGAGGGTAGCAGAATTTCTTACCACGAAGTAGCCAGCGACATTCGAGCAGGCGGAAACTACGGAGGATGGCACCCGGGCTAAGCATTACTTTTATGGCGTTACAAAGTTCTATAGGAATACTGTTTTTTACATACTGCAAATACAGAGAGAAGAATTTTGGATTTTTAAGGAAATGGCTCCTTGTAACTTTGACGTTGTATCTGGTCTTTGTTGAAAGTGCATTTTGAAACGATGCCATTAGAGTCCATTCCGCGTCACCGAGTGGGTTGTTATTGTCATTATTTAGAAATGTTTTGAATTCTTTGGCTTATAACATTACATGTTGTGTGAAGCTGTACACCTGCATTAGTGTATATCTCTATACATGCTATGCAATTTGCCATGCTTTTCTTTACCGTTGCAGCTTTTGCAGCACTCATACGTCATACCATGATACCATACAACTTTGGTAGTTGCATTTGTATTTTCTTATAGAACACTAAAACAGATTTCATTGTCAGCTTGCTCATGAAAAAAATACTGTATCAAGAATTGTTTGCAAGATATATGAGATTTAGTATTATTTAGCATTTCTCTCATTTATGTGTGCCAGTCAAGAGTTGTGAAGTTGTAGATTGGAAGGTTTAGAGGAAAGGATGGTTTAGTGAAACCAAGTAAACTATGTATTTGCCAATTCTTGTATTCTGATTGTAGATTTTCTGTATCAAGAGCTTTTTTCTTCCGTGTCTCAGTATACACACTGTACATACTGTTTTTCCCTTACTATATTTTCAAAATATCTATCCTGTATTATGCTGTGAGCTTCCTACATTATAAATATACTTTGCTTCTTGTATGTTTGTTTTCTACTGTTACTTTATATAGAATCATATCTTACACTGTTTGTTTGAATAATCCTAACCCATACCATAAAAGCGGATTCACCAAGACTCAGCTTTGATATATACTGGAAGAAATAATGGTTTTACTGTCTTTACGATACCTTCCGCTGCGTACATGTACATCTATCTGAGCCGTCATTGCCTTTCTGTACGGCCATTGCCTCTCTGTGCGGCCTTGCAGTGTAAGCTTTGCGGATCATTTTGTATTTCAGATGCTTTTCCTACCGAAGACACTGATCTGCTCTAGTCCCAATTACCGGTACGCGTAGATCCTATTATAAAGTGTCGTTCGTCCGTCAGGTTGACGAGGACCGCTTTGTCATCCCTCTGTAGTAGGGTGTGTCCTCAGGTGACTGTAGAGTCCAATTTATTTATTTATTTATAGCAGGAATCGCGTGCTACAGAATACCACAAAACAGCCCCTCCGGAAACGGTGAACCCCTGACAGCGATACCCTATTAGTGGATTATGGTCGCCGCTAGCCGACAAAGGCGGACTGAGGCGGTTTCGTGACAGGAACGTCTTAGGAAGAGAATTTTTTTTCCTTTCCTGCTGAACGGAAGTACATGCTTATCGTAAATGATTGAGGACAAATGTGTATGTTAGGTATCAACAAGTATAATTTTTATTCCTTTCCAGGCATTCATGTTTTTATTAGCCCCTACCAGGCTTCAGAGGCGACTGGAAAGAATAGTACTGGCCAAATAGACAAATGACATAATAACTTTATATTGCACAACGATTGTATAGGATACAAAGTATGGCATCTACTAGTAAATGACTACACTTTAAGGCTAACCTAACTTATACAAGAGTGGGTGGCTAGTATGAGACAGGTATGAACTTCTACAATCGTTGGAGGAATTTTTAGTGTGCCAGGGGCGACAAACTACTCCTTTAGCAAGTTTCTACTCCTTTGGGCAATTTCTACTCTTTCCAGCCGCCTTTGGAGGCTGGAAGAGGCTATAGTTGTCTTTGATGTTCTATAGCTTTTTGTGCCGAACGGCCGCTTCAGCAGGGAGAAGCTTGATTGATCAATCACATCATGCAATACAAGGATACATGTTGGTGTTATATCATCTCCGTACTCAAGCCGACTATCCAGACAACACGTAACCAAACTGCCGATAATAGATATGTTACAACGTCTCAGCCAAGATACGTGCATGGATATCAAAAAGTAAGAACACGTTATATTCATTCCATTGGGCAACTTGTTTTTCTGGAAACTCAACACCAGTCTCTTGCATCCGAAGAAGTACATGTTGTAGAAGCTACTCTCCAAGCAGAAGTTGGGTTTGGGGTTATTACCTTCGCCAAGAATTGGAGAAGGTTATGCTTTCCTGGCCGTGTGTCTGTCTGTGTGTCTGTGTGTCTGTGTGTCAACAGCATAACTCGAGAAAGCTTAGATGGATTATCTTGATATTTGGTAGGTGGGTAGGTCTTGATGAGAGCTCGAACTGATTAGATTATGGGCCCCCTGGCGGCTTGTCATGGTACTGCAGCTGAACTTCCGGTTTTGATATCTCATGATCCAGACATGCTAGGGTGACGAAATTTGGATGGCAGGTAGCTCTTGTGCTGGGGAAGAAGTGACGTGAGTTTGGGCCCCCTAGTTGCTTGCTCTAGAACTGCAGGGGGGTTTAAAGGACAAATGTTTAAAGGAGGATAACTCAAGAACCGATAGATGGATCATCATGATTTTTGGTATGTAGGTAGCTTGAGTAATGCTTGACATAATGATATTACAATTATGCAAATATGGATGTAATTTGCATAATTAATGAGGAAATTCTATTAATCAGCTGCATTCCATGATAGGAAGTTCAAGCTTGCGACATATGATATTAACAACGAGAGAAACACAGGCAGATATCGATTATGCAAATGAAGACTTAATTTGCATAATTAATGAGAAAATGTTATAATTGCATAGTGGTAACTGCCTGGAATTTTATACTTGGGGTGTTTGAAGTTTAGTGAAGGTGAACATAATTTAACATAACTTATTCAAATAAGGACCTCATTTGCATAATATATGAGGAAATGCTATAATGGCATTCTTTGTTAAAATAAGACTGTTGGTGGAGATTATGATCAACAGATATAATTCATGCAATTGCGGATCCTATTTGCATAATCAAGGGGATTAATACATTGTATATAAGTTATTCATAAAAGCTAACATCATTTGGCGAAGGTATGAGATCGTGGAACTCTAGTTACTTCTGTAGTCTCTGCTACAGTCACAACGGCTGTATCTAATGGGTTAAAGGTTTGTTTTGAAGTTTTTAATGGCTTGTCGCCGTCCCTATTACTATGACCTGGTGTCACGCCACAAATGGACTTCCCATCTTTCATTCGGACATTCCATCCGCTTCCTGTGAACTTCAAGTCCTTTTCTTCTGACCGTGAATGGCCTTTGATAGGACTTCAAAGCTGTGACGTTCGGGAGTGCGTGAACTCTCGGCTGTACAAATCAGTTGATCTAATGCGTCAGGTCTGGAAACACTATTACGGCGTATCCGCAACATAAAAGGGTTGAGGAATGTTGATCTTATCAAATAGGGACTCCTCTGAACACTTCAGTAAAGCACAAAGGAGTGTGTGTTAATGTATTAATTGGACAGTAAGCATTGAGGGAACAATTCATGAAAAAATAATGAAAATACTAAGTACAATATTCCATCACATCATTTATTGAATTGATTTGTGTTTGTTATTCTCATTTCTTAAGCTTTTTATCTTCTTCAGACAAAGTTTTTCATTACTCATGTTTTGCATTTTCATTGTACATTTGTATTCATGTTTTTTTGTAACTTTGCAAGAAACTTTGCAGTTTTTCAAAGTCCAAGGTCTCTATTTGTGGCCCTGTGCCATTGCTGCAGACATCACGATCATACATGACAATTGTTGCTTACTCTAAAAACTTGTATGAACGAATTAATTTTCATACAAAGACCAAAATTAGTTTCATTTTGCTTCATTTCTGTCACCACAGTCATCTCTTGATTTCTGTGCCTGCAGACGGACTATCGTTTGCCGGGGAGTGCCAGGGACGGGGCTCTTCTGGACGGCATGGACAGCACGGGTTGGACCGGGAAAGCCCACTCCTCTGGAACCAGGTCGTCCTGCGTCTCTTCACCTCTCTTTCCGGGAAGCGAGAATGGAGCTCTCTTTCCGGGAAGTGCGAATGGAGCTCTCTTTCCGGGAAGCGCGAATGGAGCTCTCTTTCCGGGAAGCGCGAATGGAGCTTTCTTTTCTTCTTCTTCTTCCAGGACATTCCAGGCCGTTCGCTTCCCCGGGAAGCCAAACAGCGGGACTCTTCTTCTGACAGATCTCTCCATGACTGCGTAGTCGTCGTCGTCGTCGTCGTCGCGCGGTTCCAGCGTCGGTTCGGCTCTTTTCCCGGGAAGACCAAGGGCCGCCCGCCGCCCGTAGTGCCGGTACGACACCGTCCTGTCGGGGAGGATGGAGTGGAGGAGCTCTCGCCATGTCTGTTTCCAGTCTTCCGCCTCCCCCGGGCGGTAGTCGGCGGGGTCGTAGGCGGGGAGCTTCTCCGAACCGACCAGTACCGAACACGACAGCGCCACGAGAAGAGAGAACGTCAGTGGACCTGTCATTTCTGTGCTTGATCTGAAATACAAGATGATATTGTTTTTAGTCACATAAAACTCTTGAAATGAAATATTTACGGGAATCAACAATGTGAAGCAATGCGCCCTAAATTCGAAGTACTAGTAGTTTATACATATAGAAAACTTCAATTTGTTAATGTCATATTGGAGATGTCATATGTATGTAAAATGTGGCACTGGCATGTATCTTCATCCAAGGACCAGTTTTTATTGGAAGAAAATATTAGAAAACTGAACTTTCAATTTGTTAACGTCACACAATGGACACATCATTGTTGCGTATGATATGACGCCAACATATTAAACTAAGCACCACGCAGCTGTACTTATCATAGCCTTCATAGCAGGATCTACATGGTGGACGTTATGTTATCCCCGTACGGTTTTCTGTTTAGGCCATGTTGATGATTTGATTATATGGATGACATCCTCTGGGAACTCCAAAACTGACGCGAGCGTGTGAATAAAAGTTTCCTTCATTATGAAATCTACGTGGTCATAAAGGTTGAACAAATGACTAAACACACAGAGTATGGTATGGCGAATGATAATATTCTTCGTTTTCATTTCTTCGTGTTTTCTCTTTTTCCTGAATTGATTTTGGCATTCTATGACATTAGTATCGTTTTTCAATACTTTTCTACATACGACATATATTCGCTCATTTTCTACGATTTACAGTATGGTCGAAAACTTTTTTTCTTTGGAAACGGACGAAAATTCATGCGCGCGTGGATGTCATCCATAGAATCAAATCAACATGGCCTTATGTAGAGTTATAAAATATAACACTATTCTGATGGCTCCTGTCTTCAATAACAACATTCATGTAATCGTCATAAGATATGCAGATTTCCACTAGTCTTGATTCCCGCCCATGCCTGTTGTTGATGCCCGTAGTAACAAGAAAAAGGTAAAAATCTGGAAACAGTCAGGAAACACTAAATGAACGGCCGTATTAAATCACCTTTTCTTATAATTGCACAGAAGACTACATTATCGCTGCAGACTGACTGATGGGCCTCCGAAGACTAGAGGGAAGATATTAGTATGAAGAGGCGGTTCGATCACAACTATCTGAGAGATTACGGTAATGTCACCCTGTAGACTCCATGTTCTACATTCTGATCAAGATAAGAAATCTGTAGAAATCTGTGGGTCCGGGCAATTAGCCTAGTGATACAATAAGGATAGACCATCAAACACACTTGGTAACCTTTGGTAGGTTGTAACAGTTGAACGTCTCTTTACTGCTCCAAGTCTGTTTTTTTCTGCGTTAACATGGCTTATGCAATACTGTATCACACTACACAAGCCACATAGGCTATATCTCATGAACATCATTTTTCCATTAGCCGAAACTCCCAAACTTCAAATCAGTAATTTAAAGATAGAGCAGCCTTGCGTCCAGGCGTAGTGCCTTCTCCGTGACGATAGGGCAGCGCGGCTTTTCAGATCTTTTCACCGTCCGCGTTTTTTTAGCCAAACGCACCGGGGCAGACCCCTGCTCTTATGGATAGCTTAAACGTCACAGCACGAAAACAGACATTTAAGCAAACGTTCCGTAATATGTAAAGACGTATTAAAGGTGGGAAAATATTTTAGCAGACTTAACGACTTTATAAAGGCCGCTGAAAGACAAATTCCGCCTTTCCGTCACCTTTCAGTGCGCTTAAATACGATGTAAATATATTCCATAAATTTGCGCTTCCTGTAAAGACGTATTAAAGGTGGGAAAATATTTTAGCAGACTTAACGACTTTATAAAGGCCGCTGAAAGACAAATTCCGCCTTTCCGTCACCATTCAGTGCGCTTAAATACGATGTAAATATATTCCATAAATTTGCGCTTCCTTTACAAATCCGTAAATATATGCGCGTGTAGATATGAAAAACATGGGACACGAGTACTTTATACATCCCGTCCTAAAGACGGCATATATCTTATCGTTAATATGACCATCCTAATAAATACAAATCGCATCCGGAATGAGAAGAGATTTATACATATTCGAGGGATTTCAAAGGGCAATAACCTTAGGGCATTGGGCAGCAGCAGGCATCCCACGGATATATCACAAAATCTTATGGTCCATTTTAGGTTAAGATGCATGTAGGTGGTGAGACTAAATGGGTATGGACAGCATAATGACGAGTACTCGACATGGCATGTGCTTCATTAAGGTAGGTATCAGGGCAATCTACATGTATACGATCTGCAAAAGCACAACTTTAGCCGCTAACAATCTCTGAAACTACGGGTGAAGCACTGTTATTTTCCAAATGACACTGAACTTGAGTGATGTAAATTTGACGACGTCAATTGATTAACACCATTCTAGAA